GAAAGAAATTTTTTGAATGAACAAAGAATGATCACATTGACTACGCACAAAACCTGTGGAGAGAAGATAAGAAGAAAAAGTTGTATACCAGGCCCTAGGAGCCTATTTAAGCCCATAGAGGGACTTGTTGAGTTTACAAACAAAAAAGAGTTGATTAGGACAAACAAAACTAGGTGGTTGATGCATAAAAACATCTTCATCAAGAGTACCATTCAAGAAGGCATTTGAAATGTCTAACTGCCGAATAGACCAGTTAAAGTGAAGTGTTAAACAAAATAGAATCCGGACAGTAGGCTATTTAGCAACAGGAGAAAAAGTGTCATGAAAATCCACACCTTCTTCTTGCAAGTAACCTTTAGTAACCAACCGGGCTTTGTACCTAGCAATGGTACTATCAGAATGTTTCTTAATTCGAAACACCCATTTACAACCAATAATAAGTTTGGCAGTAGAAGGTGGAACAAGAGTCCAGGTATGCTGATTTTCGAGAGCTTGAAATTCAATTTGCATAGCTGCCAACCAATGAGGAGACTGAAGAGCTTCTTTGTAGGAGGTAGGTTCAACAAGAGATGGAGAAAGAGAAGTTGATAAACACAACGAAGAAACAACTTTGGACCTAGTAATCATAGGATGAGTATTAGAAGAAGAATGAGGAGAATGAGGAAGAATAGGTATGGTTAAGTGAATACCAGGATGAGCAGCCAAGGAAGGACATGAAGAGGAAGAAGAAGTTGAGGGAGAAGAAGACTGTGCAGAGGAGACAGGTAAAGTAGAAAGAGAATAAGGATCAGAAGAAGAAATGGAGGCAACAGTTGGAGAAAGCCAAAAGAAAGACTGAAGAGTAGACAAAGAATGAAAAGATAAGGAAAAAGAAGCTGTAGCAAAAGAAAACTTAGTTTCATCAAAAATGACATGCCGAGAGACATAAACTCTACCAGTAGTAGGATCCAAACATGTATACCCCTTCATGGAGGAATAATAACCAATAAAGACGCAAGGAAGAGAACGAGGCTCAAGTTTGTGGGTAGCATATGGACAAAGCTAGGGATAACAACAACACCCAAACACTCTAAGGAAAGCATAATCATGTTAGGTACCAAACAAAACCTGAAAAGGACTAAGACAAGGAGATTGAGACCTAGGTAATCTATTAATGAGATATGCAGCAGTAGAGACTATCTCAAACTAGAACTTGAGAGGCAAAGAGAAATGATGCAAGAGAGTTATAGCTGTCTCAATAATATGATGATGTTTTCTTTCTGCCAATCCATTTTGAGATGGAGTATGAGGATAAAAGAACTGATGAACAAGACCATTTCCAGTGAAATTTTTTTGAAATTTATGAGTAGAATATTTACCACCACCATCAGATCTGAAAATCTTAAGAGAAGTAGAGAATTGTTTTTCCACAAACACTTTGAACTCCAAAAATTTATTAAAGACCTCAGTCTTGTAGTGTAAAGGAAACAACCAAGTAAAACCACTAAAATCATCAGCAAAAAGAACATAATAACTATATTGAGATTGATCTTGAGTAAAAGGGCCCCAAACATCACTATGAATGAGGGCAAGAGCTTGATTGACAACAGAAGAAGATAAAGTAAAAGGCAAACGATGACTTTTAGCTACACAACAGTGAGAACAAAGTCCATTATTATCCTTATTACAAACAATAGGAACAGACTTAGCTATCGTATTGAACTTAGCAGTTGATGGATGACCTAATCTCTTATGTCACAAAGTAGAAGAGATGCTTTGAGTAACAAAAGCCTGTGGAGGAAAGGAAAACTGATAAAGACCATTAGAGTGAAAACCTCTAGAAAGCACTGCCTTCGAAGTTTTGTCCTGAACAACAAAGGAATTTTGATCAAAAGTGATGGTACAATTATTATCTTGAGTGAGCTGATGAACAGAAATAAGATTGAAAGAAATTTGTGGAACATGAAGTAAGTTATTCAACTGAAAATGAAAGGTAGGAGCGTGAAGAATACCAGCTCCACTATGGCGAATAGGAAAAGGGTCTTTATTTCCTACCACAACCAGATCATGACCTTGATAAGGTTGATACAACTGCATATGTTGCAAGTCACTAGTAATGTGAGTGGTAGCAGCTGAATCAAGATACCAAGGAGAAACTTCATGCGAAGCAGAAGAACCAGGACCTGCAGCAGAAAAGGCTCGTGGAGCTGTAGTAGATGGAGAAGAAACACCAGGATAGAGAGAAGGCATAGAGTAGCTTCCTTGAGTCGGTGAACCAGAAACAGAACCATATGAAGGTGGATAAGCTGGTACATAAACTGGATTCATGGCTGGTGTATAAGCTGGATTCATATGGTTACGGCATTCAAGAGCTGTGTGATTGTTTTTAACACAGATTTGGCAAACAAGACCTGAACCACGACGACCTCTGTAGTGAGAAAAATTTGCATAGCGACCTCTGCCACGAGAATTGGAACGATTTCCTCTGTAAGTAGAAAAATTAGATCGGTTTGGGCCTAACTGAAAATGTTGTAAACCTTGAGAAGGAAAATATGATAAAGCTAGAGTTTGAGGTGCAAAAGAAGTTCCTTGAACTGCAGAAAAAGCAACATTAGGAGAAGAGTGTAGATTGATCTTCTCAATATGAATTGCCTCAGAACACAACAAAGAGGACACTTCTTCCATGGTTACAGCACCAGATCTGGCTCGAATATCTGTTTTGAATGAGTTATACTCATCAGGAAGACCATTCAAAACAAGAAGAATAAGATCTTCATCATCAATAGGTGTAGTGACCAATGCAATTTGATCCAAAATTTTCTTAAACTGTTGCAGATAGGCCTCCATAGTCTAAGATTTCTTTGAAAGTGATTGAAGTTTGTTCTTGAGTTGATGAATATGTGAACGTGATAAAGCCGTAAACCTCTTTTCCAAAGCTAGCCACACTTCATAACTATGCTGCAGATGCAATATGGAAGAAAAAATTGGTGGTGACAAGGTTGTAGTTAAACAGCTCAGAAGATATGCATCAACAATCTTCCATTTGCTGAATTCTAGATTGGCGACTAAAATGTTCGCATCCAGAATTGCAGAAGAAGGACAATCAACTGATCCATCAAGATAGCCAAAAAATTCTGTAGCTCTAAATAGATTCTGAACTTGACTTTTCCAAATTAGATAATTTGATGAGTCCAGATTTACGGTGACTAAGGAATTGAGATTGGAAAGAAGAAGAGAAAGATTTGGCATTGAAGATGACGCCATTGTTGAATGCTCATTAGAGCTCTATAGGCTCTGATACCATGAAAGAAGACTGAATCTTATTATATTACTCATCTAACTATTACATTATATACAATTCACTTCAGCTGTAACTAATCATCTAACAAACTAACTAATCTTGTAACAAACTAACTGTATACAATACAAGGGAATTGATAAGATGTGACACAGCTCAGGGCTTGTGATACACCTGCATACAAGTCTGCATTGGGTCAGCTTTCGTGGACTGCTGCTCTTGCACTCCTTTTGCACTGTGTGCTCTGTTACAGTCTACCTGAACTACTACGGGAGTTGCACCTTTGGACTGCTTGGACTGTTGTGATAAGTTGAACCGTGTGATGTCTTCATCACATGCTATATATTATGCTAAATTTTACTAATTATTTGGCTTGTTAAGACATATAATAATAATATAAACCTCTAACAACTTTATTCAAGTAGAGAGGTCATGCACACGTGTTGAATAATGTTGTATAATATTGATGTTAACCTCAATCAATCACTTAAGTTTTGCATGTTAAGGCTGTGAAACTGTAAGTATATACAACATGGTTAGACAAACACACATAAAAAAATCAATAATATCCCAGGAAAGGCTATTAAGATTTGTCAAATTAGGGTTGTACCCCTCTAATATAAAAGAGAGAACACAAATAGTAATCTATAGCGTTTTACTAGAATCTCTAGGGTTCAACAAACATCATATTTTGGGACATGGATGTCTCTGGACTACTACCTTATCTTCTGATATAAACTCCTTTTTTTAATTTGGGGAGTGAAAAGATTAGTTTATTCATTCACATTGAATCTCTTCTAATTAGAAAGAAGGTTCTTAATAACGAAACTAATACATACATATTCATCTACAAGATTATGATTTTCTTCGACTCCAACTTATAAGTTGGCTTTTCGTGGATTAATTTTTTAGTAATACTATAAATTCATAACTTTTATTTAAAATTTTATCCAAAAAATTGATATGTAATCCAAATTTATCTATGCACAAATCTCACGACATTACATTTTTTGAGTTTCTTGTTCGGGGACCTTAGACTTATTGTTAATTTTTGTTTTTAATGAATTTTTTCAAAGTGTTTAAAAATTCTTTTACTTTTTGAGCTCGGTTCAACTAGATAGTCTTGAAATTTTTATTTTTTTATTTTTAAAGTTCTGTAAACATGAAAATAATCTATTTTAAACTTTTTTTTATTTATTATTATTTTTAACAAAATTCTGAATGTGTTTTCAATTTTTAGGTCATCTAGTTGAGATCAATATAAAAGTGAATTTTTTGGACATAATTAGAAAAAAATCAAACTAAATAATTAAAAAACCCAACTCCAAAAGGACCCTAATTGTCTTTCCAAGTTAAAAAGATTAATATGTTTTGACTTTTCTATTCCAAAATTAAACCATGGTAAAAAGTGGATAAGTGTATAGTGCATGCTTATCATTATCTACATCCTCTATACCTCATATATTAAATATTGAAAACAAAAAAGTTAAGGCATATGCAAAGGAAGTGAAGGCCTTTCTATAGTGCAATAAGATTGGAGGAAGGGTGCGTACAAGGCAATCAAAAAGGAAGGAAGAATATGAATATAACTCCTTTCATTTTTCTTACAAAAATATATTATTATTTATTTTAGACGTAATAAATGTCTAATCACTGCCTTTTCTTTTAGCTATATAAATGCAGTCTTCCGTTCAATACATCCCATGAATTCCTTTGGCTTAGAAAGAGCCATCTGTGAGATTTTTCTTCATCTCTCTCTCTCTCTCTCTCTCTCTCTCTCTCTCACCCATATTGGTTTTTGATGTTCATGATCTCTTATGAGTGTTACAAGAGTTCTTCAGTATATTTAGGGTTTGACAGTGATCTTCATTTTCTTTTTTCACCACAGATCTGTTTAAAGTTGTGCTATGACTCATATTAAAGATACCCATGAAAGGTGGTAGGATTTAATTAGCTGCCGCCGACATGAAAGCATCATAGATCTGTTTAATATTGTGTTTTGATTCATATTAAAGAGAGCTTTCTTCAGTCCACTCATAGGAGGTTGTACGATTTAATTAGCTGCTGACTCATTCATCCAAATACTGAGTTGATCGATGTAAATACTCAGTAAATGAGTGAATGATGCGGGAGACAAATTGAATCTTAAGCTTCCTGTACTTGGACTGAAGGGAGCTCCCTTTATTTTTATCTTATCCAAAGCTCTAAAACTTTTAATATCATCTCTCACATGTATACAAGTTAAATATATGATATGATGCAAAGTTAGTGCTTGAAACCTTTTTATATTAAATTGTTTAGTAAGTATTAGTCAAGATTGTTTTTAACATTTTGTATGATTACTTTGTTTGATCACTTGGAAAAAGTGTTTTGCATATCAAATCAACTAGGTATGCTTTTGTTCAAAGAGATCTTGGTTTTGTTTGTGTTTGTGTATATATTATACATATTTTTATCACAAGTTCTTTGTAACCATTTTACTATCAACTAGTTGTTTCTGATATACTATTGCTAATAAGTACTGTTTTTTTGAGCAGCTTCAAATTGGAAACACTGTTTTGTTTTTGTTTCATGTAAATGCTGCTGATCTAAGATTAAAGGATGAAGACAAAGGCCAAGCATGAGATGATAGAGACAACAGCTTCTTGGGTCTTGCCCATTTACTGCAACAATTTCCTAGACATGTTCAGGTGGTGCAATTACCAAAATATCCTCCTCCAAGACTCAAAATGTGTTATAGTATATGTAGAGTAATGTCAAGAGGTCTTCCCCTTCATTTTGGTTTTCTTTTCTTTTTCTATCAGTCGTTTGTTTAGATCTTCAAATTTATGAATGGGTTACTCTCTCATATGAATGCACTCCAACCCTTTTGTTTGTTTGTTTGTGTTTCATATGAATGGTAGTTTTTTACAAGCTTTTCACCTTTGGTTGGATTCTTGGAAAGCATAATTGCGCGGGGTTTTGAAAATCTGTGGGTTAAAAAAAGGCAAAACATAGGTTTCACCTTGATGATCCCTTTTGGACATACTTCAAAAAAGAAAACAAAAAACAAAACAAAAAGATTTGACTAACATATCTCTAAACCTTGGACCCATGCCAACAGGAGACTTATTTCTAACAAATCATTACACCTCACAACTTAGGTGGCTGCTATACCTCATTAGGGATTTGATTTGTTAGCTTTCTTTGTTTGTCTTTCCTTAATGTGCTGTTGGGTATGTGATAGCATATGATTTGATGAATTTTCTTCTTGGTGCTCATCTAGTTAGGATGGAGAAATTTTGTTATGATATTTTGTGTAATTTCGTTTTATATTTGTCAATGTATTTTCATATGTACTTATGTTAATTTTATCAATATTTTTTTTTTTGCTAATAAAATGAAAAAACAAATCATTACATCTTGTTAATGTAATTGGAAATTTTTGGACTGTTAAATAAATTGAAAAGTGATTGAGTTCTGAATTACTGGTTTAATCCTCGAATCAATTGTTATTGAAATATGATCATATTTACATTAAAAATTACATAAATAAAAATATGCGGTTAATAGTTTTTTTAAAATAATCTGTAAAATTTAATTTTTTCAAATGTCTTTTCTAATATTTTTTATTTCTATAATAATAAAAATCATAAATATACAAAATCACAATTTATTAACAATATAACTTATGAATTAAATATATATATATATATATGTATATACATATAATTTGAAATATGGAGTTTAAAAAATGACATAATAAAGCAAATAATCCCAATATAACTATGAAAATGCTATATCAAAGTGACTTGGCTTATTTTAATTCGTTAGAAGACATTATTCTAAAATTGTTGCACAATAATTTTCAGAAGCAAAAGCATGCTCCACCTATTATGGCTTCATTTGGTCATGGCTAAAAAAACTCATTTTGCTAAAATAATCTTATCTCATTTGCTAAACACATTAATTTCTAGTTATAGATCCTCCAAATTTTCTTATGCTAAAAAAATTACTGAAAAATCAAAAACTAAAAAATGACTGAATAAGCCAGAAATCTCTTATGTATCTATGGGTTATGACAAGCTTTTACTCCAAGAAGGATACTTGTGGAACTAGAATTCTTAAGCATGAATGTACAAATTTCTCTTTTGTGACATTTTCATTTCAAATCAGAATAATTCCGTTATAACTTGTAATTTCAAAAATATATTGTCACAATATTCTTCATGGGTTTTCTGTGTAGTTCAGCTTCTTACCAATTCATATGTTGGAACTGGAGGTCCAGTCCAAGCACCGGATGTTGGCCACATCAGCATTTTGTTATAAATTAATGGTTCAAATATTTTCCTCATATATATAAATTCAATATTAGATCCAAACAAAAAATAATAGATAGACAAAATCTTAACTATTAATTTAAAAAATAAATTAATTAATTAATCCATTCTCTTTCTTTGTTAAATTGTGTGTAATTTTCCATATCAATTTAAATAATGCTCCATGTTCCAAGCGGGAATTGGTCACGTGTGGATCCCAAGCAGTGGTGGTTGGTGTTATTGAAAATATTAATTGCTGAAAAAGTGATAATTTGACACGTAAATTTGATTGGGAACATTGAAATCTAGTGCTTGATTTTCCTTTATTCTATGGGGCCTAGATGTTCCCACCCCTTGGGAAAAGGTTAAGTATAAAAATGAACCGAGATTTGGTTTCTTAATCACAACGTCTTGTCCAACCATAATCTCTCTTAAAGATATGAAACAGTGTACTAAATCAAATCTTAGTGTTATAGCCGTGAATATGTGATTGTTTTTTGGAAACAACCTACAATGCAAATTCTGTTACGCTGACACATAGAACAATTCCTTCCTAGAACAATCTACAAATGTAGCTTTATTAGTTACTGAACATCCGCCTAGAATTTTTATTCCAAAAAAGTTTGACATAAGTGGATCGTGTTTACCTCAAGTGTGACTTAGATCACACCAATTTAAAATACGTATGTGTTAGATTTTTGTTATTGACAATCTCGTTTGACAAAATTTCTTTCAGTTTTAATTTTGCTCAACTTTTATTTTAGTGAGGTTATGAATTTTTAAATGCGAATTTAACTTAAATTGTGCCTTACAGAAATGTTTTTAAAGTTAATTCTTTCATGTTTGTCATTTTGATGACTATGTCGGGGATCGAAATTGGTTTTTCACTCGAGCGGCCATTCCTACGCTCGAGTGGAGATCGCGACCTTTAGAAGTTTCACTCGCCTGCAAAAGTACTGGGAATTATTTTTTTTGCTTGAGCGACCATTCCTGCGCTCGAGCATAGACCCTGTTTAATCACATGTGTTTTAGTCACTCCGCTCGAGCGGTTATTCTTGCGCTCGAATGGAGATTGCAGATCTATTTCCTATAAATATGTGGTTTTATTAAATTTTAGGGTTACGGCTTCCAGATCTTTTTCTTGGATATTAGGATTTTCATCTGGAGTTTCTTTACTTGTTTCCTTTGATATCTATAAGAGTTTAATCATGAATTGAGTGGATTATATCAAAGGGTTTATTTAGTTTGTTTTATTCACAAAAGAGAGAGTTGTTCTTCGGTGGGTTCTGTAGAACTTGAGCCTGAAATTTTGGTAGATTCTGGAGTAGTTCATCTTCGTGGATTCGACATCGGCGTTGTGAATTCAACATTGTACAAGACAATTCCGAGGTGAAAACGGAGCTGGAAGAGGCATCGATTCGATTCGGGCGTAGATTTGCTAATTCATTTATGTCTTTTTAGTGGATTATTTTGTGGCTTTTGTCCGTGATTTTTTTATCACAATTGGAAGCGCTCCAATTGTGATTTTTTCACGTAAAGTCATTGTGTCGATTTGTCTTGATTGTTTAATTGAGATTGTTATTTACTACTTAAAATTGATATATAATCACAAATCAATATATAGGAGATTTTAAAATTTTTCAGTATGTATATTTTTTTACATAAAATTCTGAATATGTAATAATTGTTTTGAAAGCATTCCTCTTAAAATAAGATATAGACAGTGGAGGAGTTAAGATATTGGCTAAAGAAGGACAACATTAAGTTGAAGTCTTATCGTGATGTATCACAATCCAACTAAATTTCATTTTCATTCTGTGGTAAAATGATTAAAGATCAATGTGATCCTAAAATTATATATATTTATATATATATATATATTAGAGTTAGTTTTATTTTTTTGTTATTTTTCTATGTAATTTCTAAACATGACGGTCATTATAATTTAAAACATGATCACATGTCTCCACAAAGATGATAATGAAATTGTATCAACATCTAGACACACAATACACTACAAAAATTTTGATTTTTTGCAACGGCATTTTATGCCTTCTCAAAAAACTCTTAGCAACGGTAAATGACTTTTAGCGATGGCAAATGAGGGGTCACAATAGACGACGTTGCAAAAACTCTTTTTTTTCGGGCGACATATGTTACTATTTATGACAGCATTTTACTGTCGCTAATAATGTGTAAAAATAGAGACCTTTTTGCGACGACACTGTTTTACCGCTGTCAAAAGTATTATTTGAGACGGTAGAAATTGCCGTCGCAAATTGTTTTTTTTTTTTTGCAACGGCATTGATTTTGTCGCAAAAAAGGTTTTTGATTTTTTGCGACGGTGTGGTGCCGTCGCAAAAAATGCAATATTTATTAAAAATTATAAAATACCTATTTTTTGAGACAGTTTGGTGGCGTCGCAAAAAATAAAAAAATAAAAAACCTAAAAAACCTGCTGTAAATTAATTAAAAATATTAAAATTACTTGTATTCAATGAAAAATAATTTTAAAAAAAATCAATAATTGCATAATAATATAAAAATTCCTGCATAGAAATAATAATTTCTCCATAATAAATATATTCTTACATTCATAACTATACATCAACAAAATTAACCCAGTACATAATGTTTCATAATACATATATAATGTTTAAATACATAACGTTATTCATAATTCAAAATAACATAAATCAAAATTAAAAATTTTCCTCAGCATTCTCCGTGGTACAAAAACAAAAATTAGTGGCATTCTTCACAGGCATGAAATCCACAAGAAGCAAACTCCTACTTCGGAAATATCTGAAAAAATAAATAAAAATAATTAATGACAATATAATCATGTGTTAATATATTAATTACAAAAAAAATAAAAATTTAACTACTATGGGTGTGTTTGGTAACGTTTACGTTTTCAGTTTATATTTACAAAATTTTCATAAACTGATTTTTGTTTATTTTTTATTTATTTTTAGAAAAACATAAACTACAAATGCGTTTGATAATTAGCAAAATGTTTAAAAATATAAAAAAGAACGAGAAATGGCAAGTGGCGGCGAAAGACGGTGGTGGAAAGTGGTGACGGTGGGTGGTGGGTAGCTGGTGGTGGCGGGTGGGTGGTAGTGGTAGTGGCGGTGGCGGTGGCGGGTGGTGGTGGCAGGTGGGTGACGGATGGCGGGTGGTGGTGGTGGGTGGGTGACGGATGGCGGGTGGGTGGTGGTGGTGGGTGGGTGGGTGACGGTGGCGGGTAGTTGGGTGGTAGCGAGTGGGTGTGGGTGGTGTGGCGTGGGTGGTGGTGGCGGATGGCAGGTGGTGGTGGATGGCGGATGGGTGATCGTGGGTGGTGGGTGGGTAACGGTGGCGAGTGGTGGGTGGTAGTGAGTGGGTGGTAGTGGTGGTGCGTGGTGGCGGGTGGTGGTAGGTGGGTACGGGTGGTCGGGTGGGTGACAGGTGGGGGTGGTAAGTGTGGCGGTGGTGGGGTGGTGGCGTGGTGGGTGGCGGTGGTGGTGGCGGTGGTGTGGGTGGCCTGGTAGTGGCAGGTGGTGGACTGGGTGGTGGTAGGTGGGTGGTGAGTGGTGGTGGCAAGTAGGTGGTGGGTGATGGTGGCTGGTGGTGGATGGTGGTGGCGAGTGGGGGTGGCAGGTGGATGGTGAGTGGTGGTGGCAGGTGGTGGTGGGTGGTGGAAGACGGTGGTGGAAAATGGTGATGGGTGGTGGCTAGTGTTGGGTGGTAAAAAAAAAAAAAAACTCAAAACTCAAAACGGAAACACATTTTTTGTGTTTTCATTTTTTGGCCAAATTTATAAACTGAGACCACTGATTTATAAATCAAAAATTTTACCAAACAAGTTTTTATTTGAATTTTTAAAATTTTTGTAAATATAAATAGAAAACTGAAAACGTAAGTGTTACTAAACGGCACCTATATAATTAGAAAGATAATTAAATAAATAATTGTGCTTAGACCGAAATCTGACTCTAACTCCCAAACCGAGAACCCGATTTGAGTCCATCTTCTCTCACAAGTCTCTTGTGCCAAGGCAGTCGTGTGTGCCAAGTTTTGTATTAATCCGACGCCATTTGGTGATTTTGGAACGTTAACACCTTGAATTCTAAGTTTTTTATAGAACTAGTTTACCTAGAGTGAAATCCGCCTCTAACTCCCAAACCGAGAACCTGATTCGAGTCTCGTTTTCTCCTACAAGTCTCACGTGCCAAAGCGGTCGTGTGTGCCAAGTTTCGTGCTAATCCGACGCCGTTTGGTGATTTTGGGGTGTCCATACCTCAAATTCTAAGTTTTTTAAAGGGCTAGTTTACCTAGAGTGAAATCCGGCTTTAACTTCCAAACCGGGAACCCGATTCGAGTCCCGTCTTCTCCCACAAGTCTCTCGTGCCAAAGTAGTCGTGTGTGCCAAATTTCGTGCTACTACAACATCGTTTGGTGATTTTGGGGCATTAACACCTTAAATTCTAAGTTTCTTAAGAAACTAGTTTGTTTCTTAAGAGTGAAATCCGGCTCTAACTCCCAAACTGGGAACCCGATTCGAGTCCCGTCTTCTTCCACAAGTCTCTCGTGCCAAGGCTGTCGTGCGTGCCAAGTTTCGTGCTACTTCGACGCCGTTTGGTGATTTTGGACCATTAACACCTCAAATTGTAAGTTTCTTAAGAAATTAATGTGTTTCTTACACTACAGGAAATTCGTTTTTTAGCGGCGTTTTGAAAACGCCGTGAAAAGCCTGAAAAACGACGTAATATCTTATAGTGACGTGTAAAATTTTCGCCGCTGATAGGGCTGCCACAATAGCTACCCAACATTTAAAAAACGTCGCTAAAAATATTATACGGCGTTTCTTAAAACGCCACAAAATCTTTGACGACCGTCTCACCCTCCGTCCCAAATTAACGTGTGACGTCACAATAACGTCATTAAAACGCCACTGTTTTTTTATTTTTTTAATTTTTTAATTTGTGGTGACAATGACGTCATTTTGTGGCGTTTTCCCAAAAAACGCCACTTTTTTTTTTTTTTTTTTTTTTTTTTTTTGGGGGGGGGGGGGAGGGGGGATTCTAAATTAGTGCAGTTGCAAGTATACCTAGAATGAATATGTTCACATTTTATTTTCTGTCATTTTTTCCAAGTGTAGTATTTTAAAACCTGCAAATCAAGTAATGTTCTATATTTTAAAACCAGCAATTCATCAATCTCTTGATCTCTATGGGTTGTTCACCCCTTATTCAGCATCAGTGATTATACCCAACAACAAAGTATATCTGGATCTCTGCAATTCAAGTCATGCCCCATAACAACACAATATCATTGACTCTATTATCCAAGACATGTAGTTCATTTCTAGCTAATTACAAAGTAACTTGAAAAACAAAACAGCTATGATTTACAAAAAAATGAAAAAAAGTATCGTCTGTGTTTCCTAAATCGCTCCGGACCTAGGGAGCAAGCAAATCATATCTTTGGTAAGAGCAACAATTTTCAGATTTTGCGTCTCCTAATTCTGTTGTGCACTGTGCACTATATTCGTCACTTGCTATTAAGCCGAAAGCAACAAGCAGCAAAAACATTTCTGCAAAATCTGATGTTTTGTAGCACAATGCTATTGTTTATCAACCTCTTGTAGTCTGAAAACTCCAAGTTAATTGCATTTCTCACCAATTATATTGAAAATATCAGCGACAAAAGCACTCTCCACAAAGCATCTCTCACCATTCCACCTAAGGGAAAGCAAATAAATGCAGCAAAATATCAGGTGAACACCTTCCCAATGCTGAATATTTTAATATAAATTGATGATGATCTAAATCCATATGCAATAGCCAAGTCAATCAAAGACTTAAAATGTTTATGACCATGCACATCATAGAACTCAACTAACTAGACTGAACCTGAAGCCAATCAACAAATAACATTAACAAAGAAATGTAAAACATCAAAAGAAAAAAGAACATTAACAAAGATATCTAATGGAATAATTCAATTGAATAAAATAATTCATACCAGCAGTAGTGTCATGTGTTGAACCAGTACTCGATGATGTACTAGGCAAGCTACCTGGAGGATACCATGACATGAAGCAAGGGTGATAGAAAAAAATCACCTGATTCATTCTACTTCATAGATAACTTGTTGGTGACATTTTCAATCTATATGCAGTATGAAATGCTTAATAGATAGTATTTTACCCATATAAATTAACATGTAGCTCCTACAGTGCATATATACAACCAATGCCCTCACCCATGACCAAATACAAATGTCCAAGATAGTAAAAAAAATAATAGAAATTCAAAGTTTACGTAGAAACAACATTAAGGAAAGGAAACCACCAGAATTGAATTTTATTTTATTTATAAATAAAAAATAACTAGAAACCAAGATATAGAACCTTACCTTCATCAGCCACGACCTCTACATGATTTTCATTGTCAATTACTTGAAAGGATATGTTTCCCAGCCACAACACTGCAGCAAGCATTTCAAACGCATTGTCTTGGTCTTCTTTGCAAAGTCGAACAGTATCTAAGGCTTCCTGGCAAAGTAGAAAAAAATAAATAAATTAAAAATAATTAGGACACAGAAAGAACAGAGAGAAAATTTCACTGTTTAGTGAAGTCTAATTACCATAAGCATCTGAAATTTCCTAGCATCATCAACATCATCAATTGCCAAGCAGCCACTCTGACTTAGATAATGGAACTCAACAGCCGATTTTAGATTCAGTCTATCTGTAAAGAAATATATGACACGAAGTCAGAGACCATAAATTTTCTTAGGTTGTAATTATATAGCTGATATGGAGAACCACATCATATATCTCATCAGAAATGTCTCTAGCTTCTTAATAAAAAAATATAATTTTCTACATCATGTTATTGGAAACCCAGAATGGATCTCAGATTCTATCACTTAAACAACTATTTCTAGATTCACTGAACTTCCATGAATGAAATAATGATAGGATACAAACAACCTTTGAGGCCAAACGGAGCACCAGCACAAAGTTGGTAAAAGATATGGTATGACCTTTCTCCATGAGCGAGTTGAACCACTCTTGACTGCTAAAAGAAAACATCATATACTTTTATCAGGCATGTGTTATTTATATAAACAAAATAAATAAATACATACGAGTTTACAGTGGAATCAACATACCTTTTCAAGCAGAATTATCCATGATTATTGAAGGAGTTGATGTTTTACAGCACATATGCAATCAAAAAATAAATCAAGCTAGTAAACACAATTGAACAGAAGGGAAGCATAAAAAAAATTGCTAAATAAATCAAGGAGTTGATGTTTTACAGCACATATGCAATCATAAAAATTGCTCATTGGCTTTAGTAAAATTAGAGTTTGTATAATACATATTACCCGAGTTTGGGAGTAGGCGAGATTGGGTGTGAGAGTTTCAGAAGTCCCCATTTGTTCCACCCACCTATTGCGGAGTCACCTGTTCCCATTGCTTAGCGACTCCCCTTTCCCCATACCCCCTTAGACTCTGTATTTAGTTTATGAATTTAAGAAAATATGTAGAAAGAGAAATGGAAAAACTGTGTCAAACATAAGTGAAATGTAGTTATATTTTATTCACATTTCATTTATCTTTTTCCTTTCCCTTTCCAAATATATGAACTAAATAAAGAGTTAGGGGGAGTAAGCTAGATATAAAACTGTATTTCAATTCTAAAAAACAAAAATATTATTTCATACTTACAAGACCGACCTAATGTATTCTACAGCCCATTTTACCTTAATGTAAGAGCACCAATCATGTTATTAAGGGCAGCACAAACACCATCATGTGCTTTAGGATAGAATGGACTCGTGCGAAAAAAAGAGAAATAAAACATGTTATGTCTAAATTACCTCCTGAGTCGTTTTACCAGCAATCTGATGCCTTCCCCTTTCGATTGCAGGGACCTACTTTAGTCTCAATAAAATGGGGAACAATGTACAAACAACAATTTCCTATTTGAAACCCAAACAAAATTTCATAATTTTAAATGTATCACAAGATTTCTTCTCATGTTGATGCACTGAAGAACTCTTGGCCGCTAGCCTAGGTCACACAGCCAAAGTCGAAGTTACTCTCCGATAAAGCTACAATGGAAAAAAGTAAGTTTCAATGCATAATAATTTCCAGTGTAGATATGTATATTATTATCAATGAGTTTGAATTCTTATACCTTTTAAGAATCCCCAATATGTGTTACTTTTTCACTTCCGAATGGAAAGGTCGACGTGCAGGTAAGCTACACAAGCCATGAAAAAGAAGAAAAACACAGATGCCAACATCAATGGCTCGGCGAGCATGAATATTGGGTTGAAGCTGTAGTAAACCTGCAATAGAAGATATCAAGTGAACATAAATGCCATAGCCATTATGAAATATATATAAGTCATAAAAAATAAATAAGAGAGAGAGAGAGAGAGAGAGAGAAGGAAATACTCCAAGCTGGGTGGAGGAAACACACAAACACACCAAATGGGAACAGTTAATTAGTCTTTGTAGCCAGTGATGTCTATAGAATCAACGGTGATAGCAAATCGGTGACAATTATCCTGTTAAGCATGGCCTAACCTAAGAATTAGACCCATAAAAGGTAAAAGATAAGTAAACTCAACCTATCAAAACCATTCATAATTTTAGCAAAAGGTCAAAGAATGAAAAACCTCAATGGCCATGATCATCACTGCAAATAATTACCAAATTAATATAATCAAGAGATGCCCTGACTTCATTGCAACAAGAAAAATATGCCTAGTATAAAGCTATACTTTGCATCTAGGGTGAATCCGATGGCAGTTCCAGTTTCTCTCCTATAATAACACCATTACTTGGGTTCGCACTATTCTCCTGTCCATGTAAATGATAGAGGCTGTATGAAAGCTAGAATAACACCATTACTTGCATTAAGGTCGAAAACTATGTGGGTGATAAAGAGCAAGTGGGTTGGTTGTGGAGCACTTGGACATGGTAGGCACTGAGATGACGAAATCACTTAAGGTGGGCAGGGTGAGAGTTGACATGGTCTTAGGAAAAGAAAGAGAGAGTGCAGTAACAGTAGGCCAGAGAAGTGTTGAACCAGAGTCTCCAAGTTGTCAGGCAAGGATTAAAACTTCGTTTTGATGTATAGTTTTGCATAGGCTATGGCATCGGCATCCATGGTGGGCCAATACTAATAGTAATTGAAATGGAGCAAGTGCTCAAACAACTTGGCTGTGTTCAGCCTCGTGAACTTTCTCAAGAACCTGGGGAATTTCAATGCCCACTAAACACAAGGGGATTGTTGTTGAAACCTCGGCACAAGAGCTTGGTGGACAAAGAACCAAAGCACTAAATTCTTGATCACAACATCAGTACGATTTGAAGGGAGAGACCTCTTTGTGAGCAGGGGTGGAACTACATCGGGGCCAAGAGAGCATAATAAACTATATTATAAAATGTAGTTATTTCAAGCCGAGTAATACCATGTAAAAAAGCTACCTTGATGTTTACAACTCCAAGTACTTTCCATAACTTCTTTTTCTTTTTTTTTTCGATAAACAAGTATTTTCCATAACTTCTTAAAGTAATCAAAGTATATTGTTCACAGATAACAGTCTACAAAATATGTCATCTATAAATGCAAGAAACAAGAGTAAAAAGTATGTTCCTTATCAATGAAAAAAGGTTTAAACATAACATAACAGGCTTTTACTTTATATTAGATATCTTCTTTGTTCACTAATGACTCTTTTAACATTTTTTAAAATACTATCTATATTTTTCTGCAGACAATGTACATACACAAACTGGAAACATGATAAACAGCTAGAACAATACCTGGACACCAGGCAACGCCATTAGCTGAGAAATGAACTCAGGGTGACCTGGCCATGCTGCTCCAGTTACCAGATTCGACTTATTGGATCAGGTTCTAACCATGTTGCCCCACCTAAGACCACGTTGAGTTTCACTGCAGGGTATGCGGTACATTTCTTGCCCTGCAAAAGAGTCCATCGCTAAATCAGAACACAGTAATAGCACACCGACAAACTTCCATTTTCTCAACAAAAGAAAAAAAACACACACACAGCAACTAATGTGCGGACCATAACTAACATTTCACTGGCAAAGAATTGATACTTTATGACACTGTTGGCATAGCATTTACATTTTTCTGATGTAAGATTGAGGAAAAGTTTTGGGTGCCAATATTATATTCTGGACTAAATATCTATCATTTTCATGTTACTTATAGGGAGAGATTCACAATCGAGCTTGAGAACAAAAGCATGTCCTCATCAGCACAGAGGAAGATGATAATCAATTTAAAAAAACTAATCAAGAAATTTAAAAAAATCACAAAATAGAATTAATGAAGCAATAATTGAAAGTGTAATTACTATGGATGATAAGTTCAGCACAAAATAGAATTTTCTTGCTATAAATGTTGGATCAATGAAATATGCTAAACAAAATTTCATATTAAAGCAACAAAAATGTTAATAATCTACCTTGAGAGCACCAGCAGCAGACAAAATCTGCTGTCCATGGCAGATTGATGCTACTGGCTTTCCAACCTCCATGAATTCCTTCACCAATTTAATAACTGACTCATCCAATGCTAGGTATTCTGGAGCTCTGCCTCCCGGGATCACAAGAGCATCATAGCTTGAAGCATTTAAACCTTCAAAACTAGCTGTTAGCGTAAAGTTATGACCTGGTTCAAATAGACTTGATCAATCTGTCTATATCTCAAATGTAAACTGAGAATATATTATATTTAAACTTTCTGAGAAAATACCTCTTGCCTATTCACTTTCTGAGAAAATATCTCTTGCCTATTCCATAAGTCTGATATAGACCTATAAAAAGCGAGGAAGTCCACGCTCGAGCGACCCCACTGTTTTGACAAGCTCGCTCGAGCGAAGAAAGCCACGCTCGAGCGAGACCCCTATTTTCTGAAAATTTTAAAAAGTGTTTTAAAGTACATATTTGCATCCTTATTTCATCCTATGCATTCCTAGGCCTAGTTTAAAGCAACTTAATGAGGTTATTGATGTAGAACCACACCGAGTCAAGATAAGGGCTAAGATGTTAATCCCAAGTGTGTAACTTAGTGTGTGTTCATACTATAACTGTGTAGGGTTGGCATCCGAGGACGCTCATTAGCCGCTATTAGCCCAGTGCTCTGTGAGCAAAAATGTTGTAAAGATATGTTCAATTATGAATATTTTCTGAATGATCAACTGTTCTGTTTACTGAAACGTTATTGTTTAATGAACGAATGTTTGTCCTATTTGTAAACTGTATTCGTGGCATCCTTAGCAACTTACTGCTACTGTACTGTTACTGCTACTGTCACAGAGATCTCTGTCGGTTCCCAAGTTTGGAACCACTACTGTTTACTGTTATGATGGCCATCAACTGACTATTTGGTCTGTTAAGACCTACTGTACTATTTTGTCTATTGGATGTACCACATATAACTGATATGGTTTCTAAATGACTGATATGACTGTTTAATGACTGAAAGGACATTCATTCTTAACCTCTTTACACAGTTGTTATTCACTGGGCTTTAACTTACTGTTTATATTTATATGTAGGTGTTTAGGCACCGGATCGATGCTAGGAGCGTCAAGGTAACTCTCTTTTTGTCAAGCCAACCATCGTGCCTCACTTCGAGGTTCCATGTCAGTCCAAGTCAGGGCTTTTTGGGGTGTCTCAGTTCACCCTTTTGCTTCTATTCTGTAATACTATTTCAGACTTGTACTATACAGTTTGAAGAAGGGACTTGGTCCCTAACCTGAATGTTTGTACATACGATGTATATATGTTTTGCTTATAAATGTGAATATGTTCAGAAAAAATCTTTTTGCATACAGACTGTCATAGCTCATTGGACATATTTTATTACTATTTTGGCTTCTACCAGCCCTCGTACTGTGTATTACTGTCTTTACTGTCAAGCAGGCCTTCGATAATCACGGATTACTGGCCGGTTACGGTGCTAAACCCATAGGGGCGGGTTTGGGTCGTGGCAACCACACCATAAAAAACCAGCAAACGAATAATCTAAATTACATGTGACACGAATATCTCCAACACTATTTTCATTCATATTTTTCATTCTTTCTTTCATTTCTTTTCTTTTTCTTCTTTTTGTTCTCT